AGTCTCTCCCAATGCTTTGTATCCTTCCAACTGATTCTATCCAAAATATTCTCCCCTTCATCATCCATCACCTCGCAACTTCATCCCGCCACAAACAATGGAGACTTAAAAATAACAAAACGGAACATTTAAGTCTCTACAAATTAATATTCGGTTTACTGTAGCATCGGGCAGCAACAAACACTCTAAAACATAAGATCTTTGAGTTAATTTCGATTTTAGCTTAGATGACAGTGACATTCAAACCTTTCAATGCATTCCCTGAAATTGTGTAAATGTACATGTTACGATGGAAATCGTTCGGTAGCGAGATCTGAAAACGTGTGTTACCAGGATCTATTTGATGTTAATGTAACAAAATTTGAAATCTTAAAAGAGTGAAAAAGTCAGTAGTTACGAGGTTTAGTCCCAAGGTACATGGCTGTTTAATTTTATAACATAGATTGCTGGGCCATCAGCCTTTTGCTTATGTCCAAATTGTTGTTGGGATTGACATGGATAAATCACTACTTGGTCATCCATGATGTCACTATTTAACTTTTGTCTTCATTGTGTCCTCAACAAGTTTGCCGGAAACACATTCATGCAAAAGTGATATACTAATTCCTTGTAGAAGGCCTTTTTATCTGGAAGAAACTGAAGCATTTGTGAGCAGATACTTCCGCAAATCTGCCAATACAAGCGTCCAGCAATCAATATGGTTGGTTTAATAGGGGAATAACTGCACTACATCAGACATGTTAAAACAAGTGATACTATTACCAGTATCTCAATAGCTAAAATGAAAACTCATGGTTTTGTCAGCCATCAAACCTTGACATACAGATATATACAAGAATATATTGCTTAAAAAATTTAATTATTTAAAGAAAGAAAGGTTAGCAAAAAGAAAAAAATATCATCCTTACCAACACAAAATTTGTAAATAGCTCGTTAAAACTCTGGTATAAATCTATGGTTGTTCCAAATGGTAAATTCATTTAACAAGAGGGGAAGAGGATTGGTTGAGAACTCTAGAAAACTGCAGATGAAGGAGAGAAAAAGATCGCACATCAAGACTGTTGGATATTTTTAAAGAAAAGGCAATTTTACCTTAATGAATTCTAATAAATTTTTGTAATTAAAATATGCAATTAAAATATGTTTTAATGTGTTTTAATTTGTAATTAAAATGGGCATAATGACTATACATTATGACGAACGTTACGAAATTTATTGAGGGATTTTATAACGGCTCTTTTCAACCCCTATATAAACAACATATGTTGAGCTCAAGAAACATGAAGAAAAATGTGGAAAACTTATCTTGTTTTCTTTTCTCCTCTACATATCATTTTCATCTATACTTTAGTTTTACTTTATGGGCAACTTCTTCATCTGAGCTGAAGCTCTGCACTCTCGCCCGAGTGCAGAGGCCGGGCCGTTTCCGGGGGTTTTTACCGCTAGGGGAGAAGGGATCATCTGCGCCAGGGCGATAGGCGGGTCCTCAATCTTCTAGGGCAGTGTTTACACGACTGCTCCCGTCAGGCCTGTTTCTCTAATTTATATTATCTATCTTTGATGTATTATTTATTTAATTTCCGGGTTTAAATTCATGCTATAATATTTATTTATTTGATAAATTTCCAACAATCTAGAAGATTGAGATGTTTATAGCTTTTGATTTAAATCCGGAAAAATAATTTTTAAAGTTACTGTTCATTTGAGATAGTACTGTTCATCCGAATTAAAAAAATTTATAAAAAAAAAAATTTGCTATTACTGTTCGCAATTTAATCAGAATTGTTGCTCATTATAAAATAATTTACTGTTCATTAAAAAAAACAGATTTTAATTTTATTTAAAAAAAACATTACTGTTCATTTTTAACAGTTTTTAATGTTTTTTAAAAAAAAATTTACTGTTTATTCTTAAAAAATAACGTTACTGTTTAATTTTAAAAATGATGTTACTGTTCATTTATTTTGAAAACGGCACTGTTCATTTTTATTTAAAAATTTACTGTTCATGTAAACAGTTTTGGTTATTTAAAAAAAAAATAATAATTAAAAAGTTGTAGTTAAATATTTCTGTTAATTCAATTTAACAGTTAATTACATTTGTCTTATAGTTGGTTTATAATCAATAATTATTGTAAGTTACGAATATCAAAGAACCTTTATTGGTTTCTAAAAGCCTAGTTTATATTTGTTAGAATCATCTAAAACCTACCCTTATCCCCTTGTGCTAGTGAATATGCACCACATTTTATTCTTAAAAAATTCATATGCATGGTTTTGACAAGAATAAAGAGAACAAACTCTGGATGCATAGATGCTTTGAAATATCTGGATTGTTTTGTTCATGGTTTAATGCTTTCATTTCTTTAAACTATGAATATGGTACCTTCTATTATTAATAATTCTATACTTTGAAGTGCTTATACTTCTAATAAGCTTAGTATAGAAGGTGGTAAAAGCGAATGCAGATTTGTTCAGCAACTTAAGTGGCAGCTGTCTGCAGCAGATGAGTTTTACTCTCAAGACATGAAAATCATGAGGTTCGAACATCAATAGGTAAACCCCTCCTCGGCCTTATCCAACATATGCTTGCAGTATAATTGCTAAGGCAAATCAAATGCTTGCAGAAAATATTTTAAAGTTTCTATATTCTGTTAAGAAACAAAAACTCATTGAGTGAACCGATTCAAGTTTTCTTGGATTAGTTGGTGTCTAAGGCAAGGTTTAAGGGTTGCGTAACGCGCTCTGCAAGGAACGAGGTACTTAATTGATCTTTGATCAACCTCTATTACTATCCTTACCTGGCTAACTACCCGGGTAAAACTTTAATCTTTTCACTTTAGGAGTTTTGGTTTGGAATAAGAGGACTGGAATTATGAGAAAAATTCATATGCATTTATTTAATTACGCTTCTTGCATCATATATTGCCTAATGATAAATGATCAATATATGAGCGAACCAAATCAAAGAGGTGCATTTTTTTAAAATTCTATTTTATATGGTGGATTATATTTCAAATCTTCAAATGTAAAGTTCATCTCTTTTATTGCGTTATGATGGATATTGCAATAAATGTTATATGTCCTTTTAGATAACTTGCATTTGTTACATGATTAATTACAAGGTTTTAAGCAAGAATGCACTTGTAAAATTTAAAGCACGTATGTACAAATATTATTATTATTATTATTTGTATAAGAGGTGGTACTAGAAAATGGCAACATAAATTTGGAAGGTCTCCTTTGTAGACAACCAATTTAAATTTGGAAGGTCTCATTTGTAGGCAACCGATTTAAATTTGGACGGTCTCCTTTGTAGGCAACCAATTTGTAACCTCTTATAATAGAAGAATTTTAAAAAATTTAAATAGTAAAACTAATTTTTGAAGTGCCTTTAAAAATAGTAAATAAATTCCAAAAAATATAAAACTTTGGAAAATGATTATAAACATGTTAATGAACATGTTACAAAAAGAATTTTTAAAATAGCACTTCACATTTGTGAAAACTCATCATTTTTCAAAACTAGTCCAAAACATGAAAATACAAAACACATATTTTTGATATTTTAGCTAAACCATGTTTTGAAACTTTATAAAATAATTTTATAGACTTAATAAAATATGTATAAACTGATATTGAAGTCTATAAACTAATAAAATAATATTTTATCAAAAACACCTATACTTTGATAAAATCAACAAATACATGTGTGTGATTAATATGAGCTTAAAGTATCTACACACAAGTATAAACCTAAACTAAATTACCCAAGCTTGTGATCTTCAACGAAGCTCATCTTGGTAAACTTGCGGATGAAGCTTGAACTTGGATCTTTAACTTGAATTGCAAGGCTTCACTCTACTATTCTGCCAACCTCTATTGGATATGATCGTGAATGCTTGATTTCATCCATCCTCCAACTTATTGTTTGCTTAGAATAAATATAAAACACAAACACTAGAAACAACATTAGTTATAAATTGTTTGTTAATCATCATTAAAACAAAAGGATCCAACAGGGTTGAATAGGGTTGTTAAACTTTTTGAAAAATGACAGCAAATATTGAAAAAGTAGTGGAAATAAACGAAATAAACAAAGCAACCATAGAGGAATCACATACAAAAGGACTTTTTAGTGGTTCTGATAGAAATTCTATATCCACTCTGTTAGATATTTTGTTAAGAAAAGACAATTTTGCCTTCATGAATAGTAATAAAGTTTTATAATTAAAACATGTTTTAATTAGCAATTAAAAATATGTGTAACGGCCATATAATTATGGGGAACGTTACAAAATTTATGACGAACGTTACGGAATTAATTACGGGTTTTGTAACGTCTTTTCCAACCCTATATATATATCCGTATGTTGAGCTCAAAATGATAAGAAGAAAAATGTGGAAAACTTATCTTGTTTTCTTTTCTCCTCTACATATCATTTTCATCTATACTTTAGTTTTACTTTATGGGCAACTTCTTCATCTGAGCTGAAGCTCTGCACTCTCGCCCGAGTGCAGAGGCCGGGCCGTTTCCGGGGGTTTTTACCGCTAGGGGAGAAGGGATCATCTGCGCCAGGGCGATAGGCGGGTCCTCAATCTTCTAGGGCAGTGTTTACACGACTGCTCCCGTCAGGCCTGTTTCTCTAATTTATATTATCTATCTTTGATGTATTATTTATTTAATTTCCGGGTTTAAATTCATGTTATAATCTTTATTTATTTGATAAATTTCCAACAAAGACTAACCAAACCCCCACAAGTAAGAGGTAATTCTATTCATGAGAAATGCTCCCAGTAGCCAGGGCCGGCCCTGGGGTAAGCCCACCAAGCCCCGGGGCTGGGGCAACCCAGGGCCGGGGGGCAACCCATTCCGACTGCTCCTTCACCCCTCAAACTGTAATTATCTTTGATTTTTGAAATAGACTTTGTAAGAGGGCCTTTATGCAAAAATGGTTAGGGGTTGTATTTGTAAAAGAACTCAACCCTTTATTTCCATCAGCACTCATTCCCAATTTCCGCCTCTGTTCCGCTCAAAAAAAAAAAAGAAAGAGAAAACCGCAGATCTCCTCCAGTCCTCCTTCCCGAGCCGGCGGCTCCTCTCCTCCTTCCCGAGCCGGCGATCCTCCGACGACCTTACTCTGCTCCCGCCGTCAGACCCGTGACCCGTCCTTCAGGCTTCACCCCATCAGGTAAAATTTTTTAACTAAATAATTTTAGGGTTTTTTGGAGAGAAATTTAGGGTTTTGATGTTTTGTAATGAAATTAAGATTTTTGAGATTGAATCTTAGTTGTTGAAGAATTAAATAAGGGGTTATGATGTTTTGGAATGAAATTAGGGTTTGCTTTAATAATAATGATATTGCTAATCGGGCAATTGGGAAGATAAGGGGTCTGTCCGCAAGTAACCCTTGAAAATTTTCAATTTTAAACCTGTCAATTTTATGGGTGATGCTTTTCTTAAAGAAATTGACAAATTCTATGAAGGAACATGAGATGATTGGCTACAAATGTAGTTATGCTGCATGTGGAATAGGCGTTTATAGGGTTTTCTATAGATTTTCTGTTCTTTGTCTGGTTCGCCCAAAATAAGCTAGAATAGTAAATTAAAAATCACATGTTTCTCATTCCACTGTTTTGTGCTAATATATTCATCCTAACAGTCAAACAACCAACGGCTATGGGCACTTTGCTTATAACTTTCCTTCTTCCCTTTTGTATTTTACCATCATAGCTTGATAATTTAATTTGCAGTTGAAGACTTATGCAAGTCTCTATTCTCTCTCCCCACCTTTTTTGTTTTTCATACTGTTTTCATATGAGTGAAGGGGGTTATGAACAATGATATATTTATCATTCGTTGATATTTCTAAGTTTAGTTGATTGTGATTTCATATATGTAATATGTTATATAATTATATTTACAGACTACAGTACACTATGACGGGAGATGACAAAAACCGAGTAAGGATTAGAAAACAAAACTCTGGAGCTCATAATAGAAGAGTCAAGCAACGTCAAGATGAAATGGCAAAATCACTACTTGAGTATGATGACTTAATTGAAGAATTCGCTTCAAAAAATTCAAGGAGAAGTATTTTTCTTTGATGGGAATTGTAGCACAAATGTAATCTCTTCTTATATGAATATTGATTTTGCATTAGTATTATCAGTTTGAGCCCAATATAGAACGTTAAATTGTATTATATGTATTCATTTTTATCGTTATTGTTCGTACCAAATTTTTAATATAAGGGGCAACCAAAATTGAATTGGGCTAGGGCAACCCAAAGCTCGGGGCCGGCCCTGCCAGTAGCCAATCTATCAGCCACCTTCTCAGCCTCTCTGAAGTAATGAGCAAAGGAATGGTTAACTCTTTGAAGCATTTTCCATATATATAATAATGTTGTTGGGATGTAACTTTCCATGTGGGCACTTCACTTCTAAATAATCTAATCGATAATAGATAAAGGTAACAAATTAGAATCATAGTGGTGAAGATTAATCACAGCCTTTGAATTCTTCTTGCTTGCACCTATGATCTAGCAAGAGAATTCAACTAAGAATAGCTTTCATGGTCCTAACCACTAAAAATATACCATATAAGCAAATCATACGGGTAGAATTTGGAGTTTTAGATTACGTCTATCGCATATAAAATACGCCAATTGTGCTTGAAAGCCAATGTTGTAGGACATTCTTCTTTTAACCTTTTCTTGTTAATATATTCAATTTTACAAGTGTTTAAGGTTTTAAAAATCCAAAAGCAAGTTGTATATAAAAATTTAGAATACCTGTACTCAATCATTGTGCTTGTCCATTTAATCCAATCATTGATTGAAATCCAGAGACAATTTTTTCAAAAATCTTGCATTTGGCGATCTCTTCTTTCCATTTCCCGTTCCTTTCTGATGCGAAACGAAACAGGGGGTCTATCAAAATCAACGATCTAATTTGAACAAAGCACCGTTTCGCCAAAAATCATTTTATTTGGTAGGAAATTAATTAAAGCAGTTAATGCGACAGATAGATTTTAATAAGATTTTGCATCAACAATTATGAATAATTCCAATCTCAAACAATTTTAATTGCAATATTAATTATCATTTCGCAAGTTCTATATTCAATATCAAAATTAATCAGTCACATGTCCAATTACTCTCAACTCACAGATTTTGTTTAAGCAGTGAATATATGATAATAATTTAGAGATGTAATACTCATGCAATTAACTAATAAATTGAGATAAACAGAAAAATACTGAGATGAGAGAAGCGAAACCTCAGTAGATCACTATTTAAAACTGTTGAAAGAAATCCAAGGCCCATTAGCTTCTACAGTGAAGCCCAAAGCCCATAAAATCCACAAGTCCACTCACGTGAAAAAATAGTTTGTCCTGTTAACCTGCTATGCTTTGCTTGGATCTGAAGAAAAAAAGGAAGGAGCGACTTCGAGAGGGTCTCCTTTCTCTACGAGTTCTTTGATCTGAAATCTGGCGGAGCAAGGCGAAACGATAGGCGGGTCTGTTCGACGATGAGGAAGAACGACGAAAGAGCGCGAGATCCGACGACGACGCGAGCGATGACAAGAGGCGCGAACGACGTCCCAGGACGAAGAAGGACGGTGATGGTCGTCAATGAAAGGGAATCTGATGTCGACGAGGTGGCGGGACGACGCGGGCGACGTAGTCGTTCGAAGGTGGAGGAGAATAGGACGTCGGCGGCGTTGCTCGAAGGAGAAGAGGGCGGGGGAGAGGCTATGGTTGTTGAAGTTGGAGGCGGGTGACGGGGCTGTCTGCGGGTGGAGAAGCCAGGGAAGGAGGAGGGGAAGTGGCTGGTGGTGGTGATTTGGAGTAAGAAGAGAGGTTGAAGACGATGAACAGAGAAGAGAAACGGTGTTTGTGTGGCGGCTGAGGAAAGAAACGACAAACACTAGCCTAGGGTTTCACACCCATCGGTTTCACACCAAATTAAGCCAATGTAATTTTTTATTTCATTCTTCAATAATTCATTGATTTTCAACAGTCTCATACAACCTTATTTATAGAAAAAAACTATGTGCACACAACGTGCAATAAAAATAAAAACAAACAACAATCCCTCAAATCACTCAACTAAAATTAAACTAAATTTCAAATTTTAAATTTCAAATTTCAAATTTCAAATTTCAAATTTTAAATTTCAAAATACAAAATTTAAAAATATATCAACTAATCAAATATTGTCATTTCTTGTCCTCATTATTCTCCCCGGGTGGGAGAAAACTCGACTCCGTTGGGTTAGCTGCAGAAACTTGTCATCTTCAATATATTCTGTCTGCATCTTAATCTGCTATCAGTTATTTTTCTACATCTCTAATCATTAGCTAGATTGCATTGTAAATTCACCATCTACAATATTATCAAAATTCACTGCTGTATGGATGAATATATAGAAATGGAGTAAAGTGAAAGAACTCTCATAAATAATAGGTTAGGATCAGGCTTATATCAGTGGACTGCCAATAACATTGTGAACTGTTTAATCACTCAATATTACTTATATCAGTGGACTGCCAATAACATTGTGAACTGTTTAATCACTCAATATTAAAAATAGAACTATGATCAAATCTATAAATGTTGCTATTAATTAGTTCAAGAGTTGGAAAAGCTCATAAATATCATGTCAAATCTTAAACAGCTATAAAGAAACTGTATTGAACAAGTCCAAACCATCTAAAATATCAGCATTAATAGTTTTAAATTATGTCTTGACTCCATATCATTCATTTCAGTTAACAATGTATTTATTCAAGTTAGATCACTGATTCCCTAATATATGATCAATGCAAATCAAAACAAAATGATGCAATCAACTCGAATGACTATGTATGAAATGCAGACTCGAAAAATACGATCAATGGCAGATGTAACTCAACGAACTATCTAACATGCATGACGTCCTCTATCAAATGGAATAATTAGGTGCTTCTTTGTTAAAATACATAAAAATTTTGTTGTCCTAACAATGATAGTGAGGAACATGCAAGCAAATGTATGACAGAGTGTTTTTGTGCACTTAGTATGTGAGAAAAAAGAAATAAAAACACTCGTGCTCAAACTTGTATCCCTAATCATTATAATTTCCCAAAATGGATCAGTGTATATGTGAGTGATTGTTGGGACAATGCATGGTGGTGGGATATCTAGTATGGTAGTTATTTTACTATGCTTAGTTGTGAGTGATTGTTGGGACAATGCATGGTGGTGGGATATCTAGTATGGTAGTTATTTTACTATGCTTAGTTTGGTATTCGACTTCCATACAGATGTTTGAGTGAATCGATTCAAGAGCCAAATCAGGAACGTGTTGGGTGTCATGTTTGTCCGGAAGGACTTCGTAGGGAATATCAATAATGTTTTCAATCACTGGAGTTGGTTCAGAAAGAGTTAGAATTTCAATTTTAAGAACAACTTCAGGGATAACATCAGTGGACTCCGTGATCAAAAAGGTAGCTTGGGAAAGAACCGGAGTTTTGTCATTGCATGAAATTTCAATTAACTCCATAATTGCAGGGGTAGTTTCAGAAGAAACGAAAGTGCATGGATTTTTAATTTTACTATCCTGGAATTCCTTCGTAGAGTTAATTTCTATCAAATCTACGACCTGATTAACGGTTTTCTCAAGAATAGATTTTGATTCTGTCATATGCGGCTTATTAATTTTAACTGGTGGAAAGTATTCCCTTTTTAGTTCGTCAGACATTTCTTGCCAAGTTAAAATTTGTAACTCACCACTAATATACCTTAATGTTTCGAATTTGGACCAATATTGGTAGGCTAGTCCGGTAAGTTTCATTGCCGCAAACTTGACTTTTCGTGGTTTCGTCATGGCATACCAGTCAAAGTATCGATCCATGTTCTTCAGCTAATTCAAGAAAGTTTGTGGGCCGAGCTTAGCGTCAAAGGTTGGTGGATCAGACACTGGTTGAGGTGGGGGTCGATGAACGACGTACCCATGACCTTGCGATGGGTATACATAGCCCTGACTTTGTGCCGACGGAATTGCAACACGCGCTCCTTCAAGCCTAGCAAACTTTTCGTTGGTTTCATTCTGGAAATTTGTTAAGCTCTGGGCTACGACACCAATTTGTCTTTTTACCTCATCGAATTTCTTAAGGAATTCAGAAGACATGCTGGACTCACTAACTGATTGACTTGACTCACCTAAGGTAGATCTGTGCGATTAGGCATGCACTAACAATCAACTGGGATGAGTGGGAGGCACTGACAGCTAAATACGATTAAGCATAAAAATTTCCTAACCTAGAACCATGCTCTGATACCAAAAATGATGCGAAACGAAACAGAGGGTCTATCAGAATCAGCAATCTAATTTGAACAAAGCACCGTTTCCCCAAAAATCATTTTATTTGGTAGGAAATTAATTAAAGCAGTTAATGCGACAGATGGATTTTAATAAGATTTTGCATCAACAATTATGAATAATTCTAATCTCAAACAATTTTAATCGCAATATTAATTATCATTTCGCAAGTTCTATATTCAATATCAAAATTAATCAGTCACATGTTCAATTACTCTCAACTCACAGATTTAGTTTAAGCAGTAAATATATGATAAGAATTTAGAGATGTAATACTCATGCAATTAACTAATAAATTGAGATCAACAGAAAAATACTGAGATGAGAGAAGCGAAACCTCAGTAGATCACTATTTAAAACTGTTGAAAGAAATCCAAGGCCCATTAGCTTCTACAGTGAAGCCCAAAGCCTATAAAATCCACAAGTCCACTCACGTGAAAAAATAGTTCGTCCTGTTAACCTGCTATGCTTTGCTTAGATCTGAAGAAAAAAAAGGAAGGAGCGACTTCGGGAGGGTCTCCTTTCTCTACGAGTTCTTTGATCTGAAATCTGACGGAGAAAGGGGAAACGATCGGCGGGTCTGTTCGACGATGAGGAAGAACGACGAAAGAGCGCGAGATCCGACGACGACGCGAGCGATGACGAGAGGCGCGAACGACGTCCGAGGACGACGAAGGACGGTGATGGTCGTCGACGAAAGAGAATCTGATGTCGACGAGGTAGCGGGACGACGCGGGCGACGTAGTCGTTCGGAGGTGGAGGAGAATAGGATGTCGGCGGCGTTGCTCGAAGGAGAAGA